CATCTTTCCCATCGGAGCATCGACGAAGCCTTGAGTATTCAGAAAAAAAAAAAAAAAGCTGCGTTATATTGACGTAATCTCGATTAGGAACCGGTAGAGACTGATTTGACTAGATCCTGTTTCCCAGAATCTTGCTTTCTCAGAGTTCGTCCAAAGGGTTCTCTCTCCCTTCCATCGAATATTAACTATTCTACGTCTCTATAGCCGCGAATCTACGCACACACACGCGCGCCCACAAGCGCAACATAGACACACACACATTATATTTGGCATAGAAACCCTACCGGTCACGCGTAACTAACTGCTTCGTCGCTCTCGTCGTTTCTCTCTCTCTTTCTTTCTCTCTCTCTCTCTCTCTCTCCTCCTCCTTAATTTTTCCCTCGGCTAGCTACCTAAGAAGGGTCTCGCGTATCCTCGCTGATCACCGAGCAATGTCGACTGGCGTTTGTCACCGGAAGTCGCGTTCACCTCGCCGACACGAAGCGAAGAGTTCCTTTCCGGCAGCCATTAGCGCGAAATTCCTCCTTTCTTCTTCGTCTTATCGTCGCGTCCGACAATCGGTGTGTTTCCCGATTTTTCGTAATTAGAAAAGATCCCGCGAGAATCCTTCGCTCGATACTTGATTAAAAAAAAAAAAAAAAAATGATTCCTCTATATATGCAAAGACAAAGGAAAAGGAAAAAAAAAAAAAAGAAAAAAAAGAAAAAAACGGAACAAAGAAAAGAAAAATATGAGAGAAGCAACGATCGATCGCTTTTGCTTCTTTGATTCAAAATTCTCTCTGTGTTGTGATCGTTGTGTCGCGTGTATTCCGCTTCCCCAACCACGAAATCAATTATGAATTATGTACAAAATTCCTTGTGTGTATATATGCGTGTTCAATATTTCCCTTCTTCCTTCTTCCTTTCGGATTTCGCGTGAAATTATCGTACAATAATGATGAGTAACGATTGTAATGCGATTAAAAATTACCCCCATTTTCATTTCGTGATAAAAATCCTTGCCCGGAAACGCGTTTTAAAAGTCTCCCCCAACGATTATAGAAACGTGCACGAGCAACGAATTGCATAATTACAATTGATTTCTAGAGAGATCAATTATCTATATCTATTTACTTATATATATATATATATGTATATACACAAATATATATACACGTACACCGGCAATATTCGACACGTTCCCTCCTCTCGTCGTCGTTCAACTTCGTATAAATCGAAATGGCTGCCGGGTCTGAACTCGTATATACGAATGGATAAATTTAACGACGCGATGCCTTTACACACGGTTCCCTCACGTGAATTTCGACTAAACAATTATCAAGAATGTTTCGAAAGAATTTCTCATACTATAAACTCTTACAACTCTGATCCAGAATCACCGTTTACCATTTCCCCTCCCCTCCCTTTTTTTTTTTTTTTTTAAACGATCGATTCGAACCTGTTCCAATGTTTAGCATGTTTCGAACGAAACTCAATTTAACCGGTTCCTCTTTGTCTGCTAATTCAGTTTACCAATTTCCCCCGTCTCTACCATCCCTCTCTTCTCTACGCCGATTATCGATCAGGGTTCGAAAGTTCGACGACGCTTCGGCGAATGGACCTTTGTCGTCTGGTCGACCGTTTCGCAACCCTAATCGAGGAGTAACTAGAACTTTACATCTAAATTCAAACCACTCTATTATCGTTTTTCGTTATCTTTAACCTTTTTCTCTATCAATCGTCTATCTACTCGATTACTCTCATCCGCAATAATTCGCCAATTTTCCTTCTCTTCCTCTCGAAGATCCTGAAACCGTGCGCGACCTATACATCCATTTCCTTCTTCCAATTTCTTTGCTTCTGCGAATGGTAGTTGTTCGTGATGAGTCGACTCGGTAACTTGGACTTCGTTGGAACTTGGTCCACAGTGGCCGGATGTTTCTTTTAGGGAAAATTTTGCTTTTTTTCCGGATGGATGGGAGGCAAAGTCGAGCTCGTATCGGTGCTACGAAGAAGGTTAGCGTCAGCATGCGCGGAGGATCCAGGCATCGCTTCGTGGGGTGATCGTGATCGATGGCGGATGACGATGATGATTGTGTCGATTTCTGTTTGTTCTGGTCACATTCAGCTGAGTACAACGACGGTGTACTTGGAAGGCTCGCGCTTCGATATTTGACCATCTTTAATATGGCGTGAACCTGTTGTAACCGCCCCTGTACACGGTCGCCTGTGAAAAAAATTCATTGCTCAATTAGTCGAGATTAGACAAATCTGATTTATTAATTTGAGGCGCAATATTATCCACGAAGCATCGTGTTGGAGAGATGCACGTATGCGACCAAATATCGCTTCAAGTATATATATATATGTACAGTCTCGTGCAATGGGCAAAGTAAGATTAAGGCATTCGTGCATGAAACGTCTTTGATGCTTGTTTCGTGGATGGAATCGAAGCATAGGCGTCTGACGCAAGTCTCGTGGACTGAAGAATTTCTTGAAAACTGAACTTCGGTATCTCGACAATTGTTTACAACTTTGATTTATAAAGCTATTTGAAAGGAACAATTGAATTAATTTCTACTTCGTATCGTTTAAAGGGAGTTGCGGTGAAACTTTGGTACCGAAGTTCTTCTTCTTGTAAATTGTCGATCGTTAAGTTTAGATTTTGAAGACTAAAGCGCGTGCAATCGATTATTGTAAGTTATCAATTCGGATAATTCAAAAATTGAAGGAATGTAAAGTATATACAATTGTTTGTACTTTGAGAAATTAAAATTGCATTTACCCCATATCCGGCTACTGGTCCAATACCATGTCCAAGATAGGGATCAGCGTATTCACGCCCATAACTGTAACATTAATGCGGAAACATGTTAAACATCCGCCTTATCATTTATTCAATGTGTTCACGTTTATGAATAATGCAAACATTTGTTGATAGGTAAAAATTAAACAAATAAAAGGATATATATATATACAAACTTAGGATTTGTCTAAGGATTTTCAGTGGAACTATCAGGTTTTTTGACAGGAGTGTCATCATCGGGACGATAACTTTCGAGGTGTCTGCGACTCCTAAGAGCTCGGCCACGACGACGGGTCCGACCGGAAGAAACGGACTCCTCATACACTTCTTTTTCAGACGGTCTGAAGTTGGATTCAAAGAATATGATCATAGGACATTTGCGCATTTCATTAATTGTTCTTCTATCCCTTACGGTCCAATACGGATTCTTTTGCAATAGAAAAATATTTATGCTCGAATTTTATTTATATCCCAAGATAAAAATAAAAATAGAAAGAACGAGAAACGAGGTGAAATTTCAACATATATTTATATTATATACAATCCCAAATATCGATCTTCAAATATTTTATATCCCATATGTATCGTCAATCCCGTTCGGAATCTAACCTATCTCCATCGATCGTTGCGCTTTTAAAAATTGCGCTTTGAAAGGAAAGAGGAGAAAAGAACTAGATTCGAGCGTGAGGAAGACCGTAAGGGCAAGAAAGGAGAATTGAAAGACGGGAAAGAGCCCGAGGGATAACGGCAAAGAAGGTATGTGAAGGGAGTAGTGTGGTGTGCTTACCCCGCGACTGCGGCATATCCTGCGACCGGTTGTGCCGCAGCTGCAGCTGCGCTGTATGCGCGCGCAGCCACTGCCGTGTAGGTCGCTGCAGCTGCGTAGGTGGCCTGCTGCGCCGTCGAGAGGGGCGTCTTCAGCAATGGTGACGCTGCAGCTGCTGCTGCCGCGGCCTGAAACAGGAACCATGACCCGCCATGCAAGGCTCAAGCAAGCTCCAAGACAGAGATCAGACAGGAATTTCCTAGCGGAGAAACGGTACTAACGCGTCCTTTTTCTCGCTATACGTGAACATCCTTGCACGCTTCGCCGGTATTCGTCACGTCTCACGGGAGGGCGTTCGCCCCATTCGATCGTTAAGGTTAGGATTACAGTTTTCGGAGAAATTTCGATTCTTTACTTTGCGAATAGATAAGTATTTTGATCGCAGTACTTGTGTATTATCTTATAAAGATAGAGAAGAGAATTTTTTATCTTCCTGGAAGAGGATAAAAATTGTCTATCCATTTTTTTGATCTTTGAACAATGAAATGGAAACTTTAGGTTTTCCTTGTACAAACAAAGGTTGGGGGAATGAGAGGATACTTTCAATTCTTTGAATCATAGGAAATTCCAAGAGCTCATCGCGTGCAAGGATTTTTACGGATGCGTTTATAAAACGTATGGATGAGACAGCCGGGTTGTCGTTCATCGTTTCATCTGCGATATATTTTTTCTCTACCCTTGTTTACACAGTCGGGAACTTTTATTTGGAGCGTTGTTTGAACAACGAGAACTGTTTCATCCATACACCACGGTGCAGATAGTAAAAAGTTTCGAGCACTCAGCTAAATGTGGTTCTCGAAGCTACTGCTTTCTGTCGATCAAAAGCTCAAGAAGGCGTGACTTATGTACAGAGAATGATGCGAGAATGATCGTATGTATTTTTTTTTTTTTTTTTTTTACTCGTCGAAATCGATTTCTGCAATATAATAATGTCACGATAATGTCATAATATTAAACATTAGTTAAAGTGTTTTCGAGTAAATTTTATAATGCGAATGAATAGCAACACGATACGCAAAATTTTGCGTAAAATGGAAAGAAAAACTTGCTTTTTGGTAAGGAGATAATCACTGTTCCGAACATGGCTTCCAAGTATCGATGTTCACGTCGAGATTAAGACATATCCACCAAGTATGCCATTTATTACCGTGGAAACGCGAAATCTACGTGCATGCATCTAAAGTGCAAGTGTATCTCTTCTAAAAATATCTCTCTATCGCGACATTTCAAAACGTTTTTACCTTATTTTATTATTTTGTATCACCGGATCGTCGATATTTTTTCAAGACGTGATATAAATTAGATTAAACATTTTCTTTTTATACGTAAAAATGTATAAAATTTCCAACCCATATTTCACATTTTTTCAGTAAAAAAAAAAAAAAATAAGTAGGAATCTTTTAATTAATCGTTATTAAGAGGAATGGATAGAATACTTCTTTGCATCGTACATACATTGAAGTATATATCCATTCCTCTTGATTATCCATTCGACGGAATGAAACGGTCTTATTCCATCTTTCGAAGAGCGCTTAAGTGCAACTGAAATTAAATCTCGCCCCTTAGTTCTGCCCCATTTTATTAAACTTCTTTCTAATTCCGAAATCATATTATCCATCAAAGAAAATCCCACTATTCCTGAAATGGAATCGTTAGCATTGACCGGAAGCTGGACGATTCGTCTGGTTCTCTCGTTAATGAAACGTGAAGGTTGGCAGATTAGAAATCTTTTAATTAACTGTACATGAGTTTCAGGGATCTGAAACGAATCGAATCTTCTCAGAAGCGTGATTCGATTTTTCTTTTTTCTTTTTGGATGAAAATTTTCCAGAATCTCGTTCCAATCAGAAGAAATTTAGTCTTTTGCGAATAATCGATGTTTTCAAGATCGACGCACAAAGAGCTCCTGTCGCATAAAGGAAAAGTTGAGAGTGCACCTTCAGCGATGGAACGTTTACTTCTGAAATGAGGGAAAGTTTTTCATGTCGCGATGATTAATGACTACCAACCGAGTTGTTTTCTTTCGCGATGCGTGTATTCGCCAAACTTCTCATAAATCATAAACTTTTGCACAATTATTGTGCTCGGTACCAAGCATTTTAGTATTTAAAAAAAAAAAATAATCTCATTTAATCGCTTTTGTACGAGATATTCTGAAATTTTTCAAGAAAATTTTTAGACATTCTTTAGTAAAATTCGCAAATACGAATACGTTACTTCCAACCAATCATTGCGAAATTTTTTTAAAATTAAAAACGAAATCAAAAATTATCAAACAAAATTACAAACTCTCGATTCATCAAATCAATGAATAGATTTGAAAAATATATATATATATATAAATAAAATCATTTTATCAAAATCGCTCCATCGCATCAAACAAACTCTCCTTAATCTTTCGTTATATCAATTCTCAACTGTCTTTAACGATGAATTAGAAAATGAAAAAACACAGTTTCGATAGTGCCAAAAACTTCTGAATCTTGTGATAGGCGTGATAACGGAAAAGAGGTGTATCCATGGCCGATAACGTAAAAAAAAAAAAAAAAAAAAAAAAAAATAGAAAAATAAAATAGGAAGGAAAAAGTTTCTGGGTCACACGGTTGATTTTCAAATGCGAGACACGTTCTACGTTGCTTGATTTTCGGCCGAGATATTTCGCGGTATGTGGGTCAAGTGACACTCGTCGGTCCAGCCTGGTTCTCCACCTGTGTTTAGCCGTCGAAATTATTTAACGTTCCTTGAAATCCTGCAACTTATTACTCGACCGCCTTCCCACATGCCCGAGCTGAGATTGGAAAATGGCGGGTCTGACGTGGAACGAGCCTCGTTAGGTTGCTTTATGGAGCCCGGAGGTTTGTTTGATATCGTTATTGGGGTGCAGCAGTGTGTTCCGCCCGTGGGTGGTTTCGCCACGAGTATCATACTGGTTAGTTCTTTGAAAGTGGTTCTCTGATGTTATTTGTTTGCTTCTTTTTTTTTTTTGGAATTGTGATCTTTGGAATATTGCATTTTTATTTTTTTGGTTGTACTTTTTTTTATTGGCAAACAATTTTGTAAGGATCTCGAATAAATGAAATAGAAGCTCCTTCTGTTGATTAAGTCAGATTTGAAACTAATTTATTTCAATTATTTTATTAGTCATATTTTGAAATATTAAAAAAGAAATCCTTAAATGAAATTGTAAACGTACAAAAAAATCTACAATCTTTTAAAAGAAATTCCCGATCACTTTGTCTGGTTTCAGAATTCAGGATATATCTGATCAATACAAGAATCATCTCTCTCCAATGTCCGACCAATGTAAGATTCATCCACTTCACTTTCGGTTAAAATTATAGACACTTCAGAAAGTTAAACGAAGTACAAAGTTTCAATATTTACAGAACCCGAGAACGAATTAAACATGGCGCTTATTAACTTTAATAAAGCTTCGAACTTTTTTCCATCGAATCAAAAATATGTTTAACGAGATGCTTTTTAAAATTTTTCTCGATGTTGATGCCGCAAGTTGATACTTAATTTCCACGCGGTTATAAAGTGCATATCCCGCAGGCTCTCGGTTATTTTCGAGGG